TGCTTGAATCCACAATCAATGGTGATGGAAGCAGCAGTCAAGAGCTCAAATGACACTTTTTGTTAGGTAAATCTGCTGCACAAGATCTCTTTTGAGTATTCAAAAGCAATTATGTTACTTTGAGGACTAAGGTGCACCTGACCCAAACCATAGTATTTCCCATTGCCTCACATGCATGTGACACTGAATGGGGAATACTGAAAACAAATTGCTGCATTTAAACTATGATGCTAAAAAAAGAATACTGAAAGTACCATGGACTGCTAAAAGGACAGGTCAGTCTGTCTTGGAAGAAGTATGCCTAGAGTTCTTCTTGAACGAAAGAAGGGCAAGACTTCATCTTACAACTTTGGACATTTTATCAAGAGAGTTCTGTCCCTGTAGAAGAACATCATGATTGGCAAAGTAGAGAGGCAACAAAAAAGAGGAAGGCTCTCCATGAAACGGACTGACACAGTGACTAACTCAATGGACTCAGGCATAGACACAATTGTGAGGATGGCACAGGACCATGAAGTATTTGGTTCTGTTGTGAATAGGGTTGCTATGGGTCAGGACCAACTAGATGGCATTTCACAACAGCAGCAGCAACATATGGGGAGCAATAATAGTAAAGATGTACACACACCTTAGAATAATCAACCATTGGAGATAAAAAAAGGCAGCATCTACTCAAGCACATTCTTCAGAAGGGTTTGGAATGGAGGAGAAATGACAACAACAAACAGAGGAAACAGGATCAGTAATGCTACATTGTGGGTATTGCAATAAAATAGAATAAAATGTGCACGAATTATTAAATAGGAAACTAATATGCTCTCTAAACCTTCACCCAGTTCACAATAAAAAGTTTAAGCAAGGATAATGAAATTTTTCCATGAACTTTTAAGTACCTTCATCTCATACAACTATATCAAATAGGCTTTTCAATTTAATTGTTTTAATTGGTTGCTTACCTGCAATGCCAGATGCATCTCCAGTCCCCAAAGTTAAGATCTGCTTTATCTGCATTTTCATCTTCATTTAGCTTTTCTGAATTAGTATTGGACCAGAGCTGCAAACAGCTGGACCCAGTTAAAAGACGACTGCCTGAAAAAACAAACAAACAAACAAACAACAATTCACTATTATTTAGGTTAGGTTAATAATTACATGCAGGTAGGTTAACATGTATGGATTCTTCATACAATATAAAAGGAATTACAATTACTAAAAAGTCAATTAACAAAAAAAATCTGGGTGAAGGGTGTAATTTCATTTTGTTGAAAAAGCATCTACAGAAAGTAGTAAGGAGTTCTCACTAGCTCTCATTCAACCAACAACGAATGAGTATCTTCTTTGTACCAAGCATGGTCCTAGGCACTGGGGATAAAAGGACAAAAAATATCTTGTCCCTTTTCATGACTAGCGCACATTTCAGTATGGAGGAAAGCATAAAAATCTTATGATTCCATGTGACAGTATTAAAGGCAAAACAAGTATAAGTGAGAAATCCCACAAGAGGGAGAAATGATGTGTACTTGAATTGAAAATGTAAGAAAAAACATGAGGCGAAATCTTTATGGGTGTGAAGATTTTCTCCTTCTGAGCAGCTGGTGGGTTCCAACCCTCAACCTTTCCATTAGTGCTCATGATTAACCTTGGAGTCGCCAGGCTTCCTTGTACAGATTGGCTTCTTGTTGAGCGCTACTGAGTGGTTTCAACTCACAGCAACCCTATCAGCCAGAGTAGAAGAGCTAACAGTATTTTCTAGGCTGACATCTTTATAGGAGCATATCATCAGGTGTTTTCTCCCACAGGGTGGCTGGCTGGTGTGTCAGCAAAGGAGTGCTTAGTTTAACTGCGTGCCATTACCAGAGAAAAATGACCTATCTTACAAATACCCTAAAAAACAACATTATAAAATATTGTGATTCTTTATTACAAATTGTCAAAGGATACTTAAAACTTGTATCTTCTAAAATAATCCAAAAGTTTTGACATTTTTTTCTCATTCCTTTTATTTAGTCTGAAAAAAACCCCTATTTTCTCTCCATGCTGATGACTTCTAATTTAAAGTTCTAAAGTTAACTTCGCTCATATTCTAAATCCAAATTTCTAATTATTGAATATTTAAGAAGCTGTGTATTGGGCTGATAGCCTTAAGGTTGGTAGCTTGCAATCACCAGTTGCGCTGAGGGAGATATGAGGCTTTCTACTCCTGTAAGGAGACAAAGCAGTGGTTCTCAACCTTCCTAATGCCACAAACCTGTAATATAGTTCCTCATGTTGTGGTGACCATAAAATTATTTTTGTTGCTAATTCATTACTGTGATTTTGCTACTGTTATGAATCGGGTGACCCCTGTGAAGGGGTTGTTAGCTCCCAAAGGGGTCGCGATCCACAGGCTGAGAACCACTGAGTTAAAGTCTTAAAACCCCACAGGGGCAATTCTACACTATCCTCTAGGGTTTATATGAGTCAGAATCAACTTGATGGCATTGAATTTGGCTTTGGTTTGAGTGGCACAATAGGAGTATTGCTAATATAGTAGATTACATGTTGGGCTGTTAATCACAAGGTCAGCACTCTCAAACAGGAGAAAGATTCGGCTTTCTGTCCCCATAAAGGTTTAGAGCTTCAGAAACCCCAGGGGGCAGTTCTAAGTCTACCCTATATAAAGTTACTATGAGTCAGAATTGACTGGATGACAGTGATTAGCACGCTGAAAGAATGATAAAGTTGTCTGCTTCCATATATAGATTTACAGGCTCAGAAAACCTAAGGAATAGTTCTGATAGTGTCACTGTGAGTCAGAATCAAATTGATGGTGATGACTTTAGTTTTTACTTTATTGATATTTGCTCTTATGATATGCAAGCATATCAAACTCCAAACATCCAAATAATCTATGTTCTAACTTCTCTAACTCTGATATATCAATCTTCTTTATGTGGTCATATATAGCCTTAAAGTAGTCTTCAAATCCATTTTTCAAATAATGTCAATTCTATGCATAAATGCATTTCGTAGCCACCTACTCTGCATTATTCATTCACTCATTTAGTATTAAATGAGTACCTAGTATGTTACAGGCACTGAAAATATTCATCTTTCTCATTCATACTACTGGGAATACTTCCTTCTCAAAGGTCATTCTGTCTCCTATTCCTACTGTCTCCGATTTATCTAATTCACTGTTACCGTACCAACCTTCCAAAAACATTAATCTTACATATTATTTTCCTCTCGTAGAAACTTAAAATAGCTTTTAGAGAATTAGAAATAATTAAATTAAAAATTATTAGGATGCCTTTAAAGGCCTTTTCAAAATAGGCTACAATCTTATTCCTTCACCTCTCAATTGACTCCAGGCCTAATGAACTTACTTAGTACAACACAACCTATATTTTCTTTTTCTGGGCCAATGATTTTAACAATCATTGAAGTAGACTGTTAAAAACAGCTTCCAGTAAATCATGTCTCCCAGTTAAATATAACCGCTGCAGTCAGACTTTGTCACATCTTCCATCTGAGATGAAATTGACTCCTCCATATCTTTATTACTGACTAGCCATAAGACTTGTTTGGACCATAAACTGTGATTGAAATAACATTCTGAGACTTCTAAGCTAAAACTTTATGAGGGTTTGCAACTTGTTTCTCCTCTCAGCATTCAGCTGCTAGAGAGGCCACATGAGAGAGGGTAAGCACAAGGAAAGAGGCCATATGGAAGTGAAAAGGCACCCAGTTGAGAGTCAACATCAAAGTGGCAAGTAAATGAATCAAGTCTTTCTTGGATCCACCAGCCCAGGGGATGGCAAACAGTTCAGAGGGAAAGCCAATGCTAGCACTCACAATAATCTAAAACTTATTCAAGAGCCATAAACATATTTTTCAAAGGAAGTCACCATTATCTGAATAATATCTCATACATACCAAAAGAATCACATATAATTTTCTAGCCAGTTTTGCTAAACTCCTGTTCTAGTCCATAGTTTCCCAAACATTTTTGTCCTACTGTCCCTTTTTCATAAAAAAAAATTTTTTTAATCACTTGGTACCCCCCGACAATGAAAATATTGTACTATAGCCCATAATTCAGGATGAAGTGTAGGTACCTACTTTTCCTGCCCCCTGGATTGTTTCAGTTCAGGGGGTGGTATCATCCATTTTGGGAAACATTGTTCTCATCCCAGACAAGCTACTTCAGGTAATGGAGCAAGAAGCAAAGCCATAAAGTAATTACTAAATCATGAGCAATAAAATGGCTGATGTTTAAAGCCACTATGTCTCAGGGTGGTTTTAAAACTCAGAAATAGATCATTGACACATATACTCATTATCTTTTTAGAATTTTTATTTCTTTCATGCTACCCCATCCTCATTGTTAAAATCTACCCATTTTCATGTGAAACACTCTTTAATAAAGCTTCACTCTCCAGAAAGAATGTCCCCTTCCCAAAAGGATTTCTGGTGGCATAATGTTTACACAGGGTCTGCTAACTGTACGATCAGAAGTTTGAAACCACCAGTCAGTGGGGGGAAGGGCGAGGCGTCCTACTACTGTAGACTTACAGTCTTAGAAACCCACAGGGGTAATTCTAAACTGTATCATAGGGTTGCTATGAGTCAGCATCAACTTAATGGCAGAGTTTGGTTTCCTCACCAAATTCAATGGAACTCACTCCCATCGAGTTAATTCCTATTCACAGTGACCCATATAGGGCACGGTAGAACTATTCCTGTGATTTTCAAAGATACAACTCTTTATAGGAGCAGAAAGCCTCATCTTTCTCCCACAAAGTAGCTGGTGATTTCAAACTGCTGACCTAACTCATAACCCACTACACTCCTTCCCCAAATAATACATATTCATATTGTAGCACTTACCATATTTTATCATCTATTTAAAGTTCTGAAAAGCCATGACTTTTTTTTACTTCCTTTTGTATTTCTCACAATCTCACACATAGCAGAACTGAAATACAGTAGAATAATACAAGCAATAATCTAAGCAAGCAATACATCCATTTCTCTTATTTTCTTACCTGTGGGATCCCAAGTTATATTGTGTGCTATTGACTCCAGAAAAAATTGACCCGTTTTCTGCCACTGACTGTATGATTCCTACAATAAAAAAAGTAATTTATCCATTCTTATTACTATACCTTTTCTCTATCAGATACATGCATGAATGCTCATTTTCTTACAATAATGCAGTAATTTTTAAAGGTAATTTAATTAATTTTAATGGCCAAAATGGTCATTCAGTGAAGAGAAATCAGGAATATGTAATGGACATTGGGAAAGGCTATCTATCCTAGAGGTACAGGAATCGGTGTTTTCACATACAGCAAAGAAGAATATGCCACATTGGATAACTATATTACTAACTTCAGACTTTGTAAAAATAATAATAGTATAGTTATAATTAAAGGTTTAATTTTAAACGTGTCTGAAGCTATGCTACTTGGGGCTTCCTTCCTTTTTCTGGTTTCAAAACCAGTTTCCCCCCTGAGATACTCATGATGGTATGTAGGAAAATTTAGAATAAGATATATAACACTTTCTTAATTGTATGTAATTGTTACCTTGAGTTTAAATTGACTCAAGGGCACCTAATAACAAAAAGGCATTCTATTCCTTAAAACTCATTTTTAAAACGTTTTCAATATTTTACATGCAAGCCAGTAAAAAATACATGCTACACTGACACACACACACGTAAATTTACCTTTACTACACACACTGCACTCTGACATTTCCTCTTCTATTTAATTTTCTTTTTAAATTTAGATGTTAATTCCAACAGCCCACTTAACAGTTTGATCAACCAACAGTTTAAGATGTTTATTTAAAATTCTAATTTCCAAGACCCACGACAAAAGATTCAGATTCAAAGGGCCAGGGATAAGGCACAAACACATCATTTAAATAAAAAACTAATTTCAAGTGCCTTTGTCACAGAGATCTACAAGTATGTTTTCAAGACATCTTGTGTTACAGGAATGGCTTTCTATCACAGTACAAATCAAATCTTCTGGAACTAGAAAAACCAGGGTCTCGCATAAAGTTCATGGAAAATGGAAGTGATAAGTAATGGGTTTTTTTCCTATGAACTTTTTGAAGGCCCCTTGTAAAAACAAGTGTCTGAAAATAAAAATAAGTGTCTGAACACAACCATGTCTACAGTTTAGAAATGAGCAGATAATCTCAACCAGTGATTCTGAAGTGTAGCTCATATAAGGAATTTCACATAAGACAATTATAAGAGAAAATGTACAAAAACTGAAATTCTCTATTCTACACTTACTAAAAAAAGCATTTTACTGTAACATTTATTTTAAAATGTCAGTTATCTCATTTAACTAATACTAACATTTGCAATACATTGCTTTGGATGCTTAAAGGTAACATCTTTTGATTCTATTTTTAATGCTGTCCATTGCTAATTTTTAAAAATACATAAGCCTCTAGACTAGAATAATAAGATGATATATTAGCATAAATATAAATTGGGAGAATTATGGATACTCCTTCAAAAAAATTATCCCAGACAAATCATTTTCACTAACACAAAATAAAGAATACTCACCATCTACAAATAAGTACAACTGGTTTCAGCCGTACTTTTGTGGCTAAGTAACTGTTTTACTAATCAAGTGACTTAATTTCTTTGGGCTTTAGCTGTCTTATTTATAAAAAATAAACAACAGCGACACAAAATATATTAGAATTTGAAAGTTTTACTTTTGAGCTAAGTGAAAAATTGTATGAAAACTATCGAAAGGTATATAATCTTAAGACTCTTTAGATACTATTATAAAAATACTATATTTTTTTTCACAATTAATTAACACATTTCCACATACAGTCTCTGACATCTTTGCCATACTTACAAAATTCCCCATAAATTTTTTAATTCCAGAGTTGAACAAACAGGTTTGTAGGATGAATTTGCAGACTTAATCAGAGAGTAAGGTTAAAAATATCAGAAAGAAACCAGTCTTTGGGGTGTCAACACAGTGCTGTTTGTCTACACAAGGGGTCCTCAAACTTTTTAAACAGGGGGCTAGTTCACTGTCCCTCAGACCCATTGGAGGGCCGGACTATAGTTCAAAAAAAACTATGAACAAATTCCTATGCACACTGCACATATCTCATTTTGAAGTTAAAAAAAACAAGGCAAAAACACCCGGCTGGCTGGATAAATATCGTCGGCGGGCCACATGTGGCCCGCAGGCCGTAGTTTGAGGACACCTGGTACACTATGCTGTCCTTCTTTTATATGGTTTAATAACTAATTTAATCTTCAGTGGAGATGGTTCAATGGTTATGCTGATAAACATTGAAACACCTGTGGAATATACTATATAAGACCAATGTTTAATCACGTTTTAACTAGTCTTCAGAACTATTTCTGAATACAATTTCTTTATAAAGAAAAAATTCATTGATTCAATTATAAAATATAAGTGTCATAAAATAACTCTTAGATGTGCATTATGACTCTGCCACTAAACATGTAACCTTAAGAACAACATACACAAAGAAAAGGCAAGAAAACGATGTAAAGCTAAGATGCGAAAATAAAGAAAAGGCTGCCACATATGGCTGGATAGAAGCAACAATCTCCCTGTCCAAGCTTAAGTATTGATTCTTCAAATAAAAATGTATCAGAAAGGAAAAAAGTAAAGCATTTCAAGAAAAGTCACCAAATCTATTTAATTATATTCCAATAAAACATTTCAATTTTTTTTATTTGAAATGGCTTATCTCCAATGAAGTATATAATTCACTGATATCCTTGATGACAGTTTGGATGTCATACTCTTATTTTTTTCAATAAAATTTATTTGACATAGTATGAGATTTTAAAAAATCATTTTATTGGGGTCTCGTACAACTCCTATCACAATCCACACACACATCCATTGTGTCAGGCACATTTGTACATTTGTTGCCCTCATCATTCGCAAAACATTTGCTCTCCACCTAAGCCCCTGGCATCAGCTCATTTTTCCCCTCCCTCCCCGCTCCCCCCTCCCTCATGAACCCTT